GACAACTGCTCACAAGGGTGGTGATCAGAAAGAAAGTATCCATTCCAGTTGTACCAATTTGGCTTCAACCAGCAGGGGTTGCTGTGCTTTAAATGGGGGCTCTCCCAAGAGCACAGGCTAGTGCCTGTTTCCAGGCCTAGGAAGAATTCCTAGATGCTAGATGCTAAAAGCTGTACAGTACACAGGTGGAGGCAAGAGACTAGAGTCTAGATCAAAACAGAAGGTTGAGAAAAATACATTAAAGGAATAACCCGAAAGCACACACAGATCCTGTGGGCCGATGGTTTGCCATTCTACATTATAAATCACACCACAACATCCTATATTAAAGAGAAAACATCAGAGGGCAGGCATTCTCTTGCACACATAACCAAACCATATGCACATAATCCATAGAGATAAAAGCATACTCTTTCCATTGATCGAATGTTGTAATATTGGAAAGAATGCATTTTTTGAGGTCAGTTGATTAAGAATGCTAAAGAACGCTTTGAAAAAAGTGAATTGATCCCAGTAAACTTTGAAATAAAGATGCATGTAAGAGCTCAGAATGGAATTAGCGCTCTAGTTAGATAACGGCTAGCTGTCTAGTCTTAGCCTCTAATGTATTCATCTGCACGTACAGATACGTTTGAAGATAAGTCTTTTAAGGATTAGCAGCAATATCATGCCGAGTGTCATAATACCACGGCTAGGTTAGTTAACAAAACCAGTTTAGAAATTCTAGACATTTCTGGAATTGGCTAGAAATCCTCCTCTTTAGACAGTTTCTTAACCAGCGCAAATTCATTAAACAAAGCAAAAAATTTCAACAAACACAGAGCTCCCCAGGCATTTATACAAGTAGAATCATTTTGGAAAATGTTCTTGTTCCCCTGAGTACAATTCGCCCTGCACATTCTGAAAGTAACAGCAAATGTTAAAGGAGAATATCTTGCAAAAGGAAGTACAGGTATGAAAGAGCATAATTTCAGAAAACTAGCAATTTTACATTATTATAGTAAACGGATTTTATTGCATAGCCAACAGTTGTCCTATAAACATTTAGGCCCTTGAAGGGTGTATACTACAAGTTGCAATGTAAAATATTCAGATACACAGTCCATGTAATATGTATAAATGTCACGTGTAATGTATTCAGATGCTATAAATTCAGTGTCCAGCATCTTCAGGGCTTTTTGCAGCTGCATTCATAATAAAGTTATTCATTTATTCTTATGCTAGCAGTTATCTGCCTCAGAATAAAAAATCTAAACAATCTTAACTATTAGGCTTCAAAATACATAATTTAAAGTGTAACATTATTAATAACAATTTAGAACATGCTCTGTAAGCTAGTAGTTATATTTACAACTTTTTCGTTTTACATTTTTGATACCAATAAAGAGAGCTCAAAGTTTAAAAGGACACTTCCCTGATAGGGTACAATGCAAAGAGATATCACAGGTATTCTTGCAGTCTCTCTGTTTTACAGAAACTGTCTAGAAATTTGTATTTTTTTTTTCCTTTTTCCCCATTACATTGTTAAAGTTAATCTTGAGTTCTGGATAAGACATAAATGTACAAATGTGTGCTGTGCCAAGAAAAACAGGCATTCCCAAAGACAAACTTTTATCACTCCAGACACACTGCAAGGAGAAGCCTATGGAACAGTGAAGATTGATTATATACAGTAGTTCAGGCATCGTAAGCTGATCATGCAATTACAATTGAGAAATACCTGTGGGATTAGGTAATCAAAATCATGAAGCACTTATTTACACTAAGGGTCATATGAGTATATAACAAATGAGTTGGCCACGCTGATAAAGCTGATTCCCTGAGATCCTTCACGAAACAGCTGGATGAGCATCTGCAGGCTGCCAGCGTCCAAGTGAGCAAGATGGGTTCGGCAGCTCCCTTTCATCAGTACCCTTTCATTCTTCGTCAAAGAAAAGGGAGGTGAAACCCTCTTAATCACTACAAACTGATCATTATCTGAACAGCTTTTTAATACAACAGTAAGTTTGGGAAGTAATTAATCTGCGATGAAGTCTAGGCCGTAGTCTTTCCTGAGCTGCAAACTAGAAGAGTTGGGGAGTGATGAAATCCACAGACGTTTAACCTTCTCTCCAGATGTCTTGGTGGAATCAGAAGTAATGTGCGTGTGATGGCCTCAGACACTTGTCTGCATCAGTCAGTATAACAAAAAAACCATGCACAGAACCGTACCACCTGGGAACACTTGACAAAAATAGCTGGCAGTGATTGATGGCAAAGAAAAGTGAAGCACTCCATCAAAGAGGAGGCTCCCCTCAGGGCAGGACTACAGAGGCAGGAAGGGTGGGACAAATAAAGTCATATTGTAGAGGCCCATTCCTGACCGCACCTGACAAATCAACCATGTGCTTTGCTGAGCTGGACCAGTGCAACCGGCGCAACAGCAATGACTGCAGTTCAGTAAAAAATTAGAAATCCCTTGGACTTGCGTTTTCTAGAATGTCACTTCAGATTAAGAAGTAGACGTACAGTACTAATTCCGAAGGGCGCTCTTCTGTGTGTCTGTGAGGCCTCCCATCTGTCCAAATGAATGATGGGCATGAATATTAATTCGTTCTCATCCAGTAACAACATTACAGAAGATGAGACCTGTAGTAAAAAAAAATCTCATTCTGTCTCTTTGTGCGTATAATGTTATGTCCAGGCACCATCCTCCAGGGAACCTGGGTAGATGCTGAATTATGTAAGTGACCCAGGAGCTAGGCCATCACAGTGCAGCTCACTGCACCTGGGACCGCACACAGCCAGCCTGACGCGAGACAGACCCCAGCCAGGGAAATCCGCAGCCGGGCTCCTGGAGCAGGACAGTCCCCCGGGATTGCCTGGGACACGGGCAAGGAGTGCAGGGGACGCAGGTGCAGGATAGGGAGAGCCACCAGGGCCCAGGGCTGTGCTGGTCCCAGAGCATAGCGCAGGGCTGAGGGGTCCGAACCCTGGGCCAGGCAGGATACCCCAAGAGTCCCGACGGAACAAGGCGTGTGCTCGTGGAGGTGATCCCCTGCCCAGACCAGGCCAGCGCGGGCCCTCGGGGGACCTGTGAGGCGCACCCGAGACCGGCGCCGAGGGAGACGGGAGGTCCGCAGTGGGGTCCCGGCCTCTCCGCTGCACTCGCGGACCCCGAGAGAGCAGGACACCAGGCCCGGGGCTCTGCCGGGTCACCAGAAGGTGGCGCCGGAGTGCAGCGATGTGAACGTCAATGCCGGATCGCCAACGGAGAGACAGAGTGGGGTTCAGATACCCCGGAGAGCTCTCCCTTCAGCCAGGTGCCCTGCAGCTGCTGTCTCCATGGTGATCTGGGCAGAGTGGAGGCATGGCCACCGGCCTCTGAAACCGCGACACGCCCCGCAGTGACCCAGCAGGGGCGAGCGTAACCTATAAAAACAAGGTGGGCTGCCAGGGCCAGGTGTTTTATCCTCATTGGGGCTCGTTCAGGGGACAGTGACATCATGGGTGTCTCATGTACTGTATCAGTCAGTCATATATCTCGCAATGTCACAGCTGCATATCTCTCATTAACATGTCCAGCCCCTGTCCACTGTTAAGATGGTGAAAGACTGTTGCTGAAGCCTTAATCACACATTTTTATAGCTCATATGATTTATGTGATGGGCTGAATGGTTAATTTGGACATACCCTGAGAGACAGTATCGGAGCTGGAGAATGATGGCCCAAGATCAGGCTGTCAGGTGAACACATTATAACCCTGATGACAAATCTCCAGAGTAATTGAATGTCCTTTGTCAATATATTGAATACAAAGGAGTGCTTTAAGATGGGAATAAAATTATCCTCACTGTATTTAGCAAGCAATAAAAGATTACTGAGATTTATACTGCTCCATAATTACTTTATTATTTTTATAAGTGATGTATTTCTCCTTGATTAACCATGATCCCCAGAGTCTATATACTTTTCTTATTGCATATTATGGTCAATGTCAAATCCATAAGACATCTATACAAATAACGATTAGTATAAAACTGGACGAAGTCAATAATGGAACAGAGCCAAATAGCAATCAGACCACTACTAATAGAGCTGGCTGTGATCTTCACATGTCAAACATCTTAATATGAAGATATTAACAGACTGATAATCGATTAGCACCAGCACCAAATTGTATAGGACAGTCATGTCTTTCCTATCCCAACTGAACCCTACCTGTTATTTTATTTGCACTCATTAATAAAGTGCGGTTTTTATCGGGAGCAGTTCAGTGGGATATATCTGGCTTAAGGGTACAACAGCAGTGTGTCACCTGAGATTTGAACCCACAGCATTCCAGTTACAAGTCCATATCCCCAACGGCCGTTGTACACTGCTGCCTAGTTGAATTCTATAGACTTTTGCAAAATCATGGATTATATATAATTATATTACACTATCCATTCATCCGTTTTCTTACCACTTAATCTAATACAGGGCTGCGGGACAGCTTGTGCCCATTGCTTGCTGGGTTAGGCTCCAGCTCCCCCTGCAACCTGCACTAGATAAGCAGATTTAAAAAAAATGGATGGAGGGATGGATAATCCCAAATATAATTACTGCTTTCTGGCTTGCTAGTACAACCCTTTAACACAACCCAAAATGTCTGGGTAAGCAACACGACCCGCCTGTAAGGTTTTTATACGATACTTATATTATATTGCACACCGTACTTTTTTTTCTTTTTTTTGTGTGTGTGTTTCGGTTAATCCCTTCAGATAGAGCCTCGGAGAGATTTCAATGCAAGGCTGTGATGGTGCTCGATCACAGGAGGGCACGGTGGCGAGGACTGCCTCCATGAAAGTAAACCATGGCCAGTTCTCGCCAGCAAGCACCCAGAATTCCTGTGATGTAGCCCCGCCTCCCCTTTGCTTTCCCATCATCCGCTGTGGTCTGAATCCAGCTTTCCCAGACCCCCCGGGGAAGCCTGGGGACACTTCGCGTGCTCCTGCCATGATATCTTGGACCTCCTGCAGGCCCGCTGGACCCTACCTCATGCCCCGGGTTGAGCGGTTCTGGAAGTTCTGGACCAGCTGGGGGACCCCCAGCATGGCCTCCGTCAGCACCGCCGCCAGCCCCAGCATCTCCACGAACAGGGCCGAGTCCAGGAAGAGGAACGTGACGAAGGCACACAGGACGGTGAACGCGAAGCAGAACATGAGATAGTCCTCAAAGCGGCTCCAGCTCCAGAAGTACCTCAGATCCAGATCTGTACGCCAGGCACAGAAGAAGAAAGAACAAGTCGCAGAGTAAGTGTCTTGCGCTGGGGGTGAGAACTGTGGGTTTCTACCAGCAGAGGCGTAGTCTGAAAGTAGTGCCCGGTTTAATATACCACTCCAGAAGTCAGCAAGCCTATCGTGGATCCTGTAGGATACAAGGCAGGACTGCTCCTTAGACAGCACAGCAGTACATCACACCCCCAAACATATACAAGCACATAGGGACAATAGAGAGGAACCTTTTAACCTAGCCAGTGTGTCTCTTGGAGGTGGGGAAGTATCTGAACAGCTGGATAACACCCAAATGCACACAAATGCAGAGGGAACAAGCGAACTCTGCACAGAAGTGGCTCCCATGCTACTGCAGTGCATTCTCTTCTAATGTTATCAACAAATAATATTCATCTAAAATAACTTGCAGCAGGCTTAAAAGACTATAAACAATATAAAAGGCACACTTTTCTCTATTCCAGCTCCTTCAAAAACTTAAATTCTCAGACTGAAAATGTTTTAAAAGAGATGCAGATGAACATCACTGACAGCCGTTTAGTGTTTTTTTCCCAGCAGGAATCTTCTCGGAGAACAAACTGGCAAAACAAATTCCACCAAATACTAACCTTTGCAAAAGATTGGTGTTTTTGTGAAAGATAATTTTAATTGTCAAATCTTCTATATTGGATAAAAACTTTGATATAGACAAGAAACTTCCATAATACCTATGATTTTGTTTACAAAAGGCTCAATAAAATAAAATATAAGTAAAGAATATATTGCTCCATGTGCAAACTTTAATAAAACATTCTGCAAAATGGTATCTGGACATCTTTAAAGAAATAAACATTAATATTTATAATCATTTCTAATAGTAGGTGTTATTAATTTCTAATTGACACTTACCTCTCCTATCTCATTCCCTGTCTCCAAATCCAATAACTTAATTCATTCATAAAATGCAAATATTATCAGAAATGAATCTAAACATTTGAGAAGGGAGGAAGATACTGGATTGTATTTCTCAGCACTTTTCAAACTCCTTGAACACTGACTCTCAAAAATTCCCAGCTGTCAGGAAACACATAAAGGGCTTATACCCAAGTGTGTTAATACAACATTAATACGGCTTGACTGAGCTGTTAATTTGGCCATCAGTTTGGGGGAGAGTTAAATTAATTTTAATTGAAAACATGCAATTATCAAATCATGAAATTAAGCATTATAAGAACTCCAAAGAGAAAGGAAGTAAGGGCATTTATGAATTTATTAATGCTATTTTCTTCTATATTACTAGAAGAAAAGGTGTTTGCTTGAGATCCATCAGAGTACATAATAAAAGCTGAAGCATTTACAGCAATCCACACTCCTGATTATCCCTGCAATGCTAAAATTCTGATGTAAGGATTTACCTTAAGCTCTCTAGCTTAGGCTGATGTCTGAACATGATTAACTGCTGAGCTCTAGGAAAATCACAGTTTTGTCTGAACTGCTGAGCCACGTCTGGTTAACAGCTGACGTTCAGGACACAGGAGGCCATTAGTCTTTATGGACTTAATGGAGCTGCAGGTTTTTAAGGAAATTAAAACATTGAAACATTGAAAGTGCGAAAACAAAGTCAACCTATACTTTGAAATTAAAATATAAGGGATATAACCACAAAAGGTTACATTATTGTGGTCTTGTTTTACAGGTAGTAGGCCTGCTCCATAGACCAATTAGTGTAATTTGCTGGCTCTGCAGAAATTTTAGCTGAAAAAGGCAAACAAATTGACTTACAATACATAAATACAATACACTCCTTTTTTACAAATTTTAAAATAAGAGCTGTTTATACCAGCAATTTATTAGTGTATTAAGCTCACGTTATAGAGTAACCAGCTTACTCTCCTGCAGCTTGCTCTCTGTACTTCATTAAAATTTGACCTACTGTATATATGAAAGACTGAACTGTGAACTCTGGGCAGGGGAATAAATGGTTCTCCCATTTTAGCAAAACCGCAAAAACCCTTCCTTAACATTTTTCTTTTCAGACTGCTTTATTTCTTTTAAAACTTAACTAAAGGCTTTTCCCCGCTTGACCTTCAATCAAGAGTGATTTATTGTTTATGTTTATGGTAAAAAATGCTGGTTTTGGTTTCTAATTTGTTTACATTCTTTAGTGTGTTCAGGTGATCCTAATGAAAGGCGGTTTACACATTACAGGACTGATTGATAAGCTGGTGATGTGCTTCATTGATCCTGATTTAGTAGGTGGGAGTACCTTTAAGACAATATAAGTGACATACTGTGTTAGGAAAATCACAGGCTACAAAACTCTAGCAGAGACATCAAGCTAAAACTACAGAAATATATTCTAGACCTCTGGTAATATAGTGTGTCAATTACTGTTCAATAGAGTTCTGCTCTGTCACAAAGCTTGTGCTTCTCAATTCATCCACAGTAAAAGAATAAAATAAAACATGATTCTGAAAGGAATGTGATGAATGCTTTTAATTACCAGGCATCTGACAAATTTACACACCTTTTAGGAGTGATCCAAATTAGCGAACTGAGTGTTAGTGTTAGATTGACCTCCACAATATTGATTTCCTTTAAAAGTAGTAAAACATTCACAATAGCGATATACAAGGTGAATGATGCTTTTAAAAGGCTCTGTTGTTTTCCAAAAGGCTTTTCATTTTTCTAGAATAAAATCCAATATTTTTTACATTAGTTGTTCTTTTTGAGTGCTGACATGTGGTAATCATGCCTTTCAGCAACAGCAAAAAGGTTATCTTGTCTGTAAATGTAGGAAAATTCACTGGCACCGGTGGGAGTTTTGAGATAATACACACCTTTTTAATTCTCCTTGGTTTTGTTCTCCTCAACCTGAAAATCCACTACCACTACCTTAGGTATTTACTAAATAAATACCTAAAGACAATTCCACAGATTTGGAATATGTGTGTTTGGAGTGTTATTAGTTTTGGATCACAAACATATCTCAAAGAAATAGACAAACTGGGGTACAGTATATCTGAAAATAAATGTTACAAGGAACCTGCAGGAAATGCCATGCTTCATAAGCCAAGACTGGCTCTAAGGTCCAAAGGGACAAACTTATCTCTGTTTTAGTATCAGAAAAGCCTGGATGGCCCCTCACCAGATCTATAACATGTCAAAGACGTGATGATGAGTACATGGACAATGATTGACAAAGTCAATAATGGAACAGGATGGAAAGAGCAGTCCATCTACTATTGATGCAGCTGGCTATAATATTCACATTATAGGTCACTATGAAGGTACAGTATTAACAGATTGCAGCAAACAGACTGGCAACAGCGCCAAATTGAATAGGACAGTGACATCTTCCCTACCCCAGGTGAAAGTGTGCTCATATCTTTACAGGGATTTCAGTTCAACCCCTCCTGTCATATGGACTCTTATTCACACCACAGTGTGGCATGGAACAATCCATAAATATCTTTCTTTTCTAAATTAACAACTATTTTGAGGACTCAAACCCTTTGGTGATGGAAACAGACCAGGCACCAGCACTGTACACTCCCTAGCAATTCCAAATACGTTTATAAGGACCGTGGAGGGATGCCTGTTTTTATTCTGTCACTCCCTTTGAAAACAATGTTTATGACAGTGGTGCCACAATGAACTTGACAAGCACAGACTATTATTAGAGCTTTTACATTTTATTTCCAGAAAATCACTTTGAGAATTTAGTATACAGACTACAGTTCCAGTGGCATAAAATTGACCCTTTTATAGTACTGAAAGAGATTTCCAAATACTCTAGCTGCACCACAGTTAAAGAACACGTTGAACCCTCTTCATTTCCAAATCCAATCAAGGAAGACTAAATAAAACAATAAGAAACACTTATCTTGAAAAAGGAAGTAAAAGCTTTGATGTTAAAGTCTCATCCTGCTGGAGTATTTTTTATTATTCCAGAAATGTATTACACTAAGGAAAGAAGGGGGTAAAAAGAGATACATTATCACTGTAGGTATTTGATATTCATACCTGGAAAAAACAAATTGAGTGAGCGAGTGAAACCTTTGGATCTAGTTTTACATCAAACAAAACAGAAAAACTGGAACTGACATCAAACATCTCCTTACAGCTGATGCTCTGCATGGAACAGGAAAATGCTATTTTAGGAAACAGGCAAACCTTAAAAGGGTACTACTTAGAAATAGATTTTTTCTTAAGTAATCCGGCCATTTAGTCCGTTCATAGCAGTTTGCTACAGAAGTCCTATCATGCTCATGTTTGCCTGGGAGTCTGAGGACTCATATAGGAGGTGAAAGGTGACAGATGAATTTCTGTGTTGTTTAGGTTGGAAATATCCTTACAAAAACTGAAAGACAATTAGTCTGTAGACTTTATAGAAAACACCTGAGAACCACACCCCTTTGAAAACAAAAAGAGTGCCAGTTACACGTAAAACCTATGGTCTTCACTCCTATCCTGGCTAGCAACAGCAGCAAGGCAGATACACACTGGATGGGATGCCAGTCCATTGCAGGAGACACACACTCACACTAGGGCCGATTATCCTGAGTCCAGTTAACCTACCAGCATGTCTTTGGACGTGATCACCAAGGGGAAACCACCTCAAACATGGGGAGAACATACAAGATCCATGGAAACAGTACCCAAGTCCCAAAATTAAACTCAGGGCCCCAGTGCTCCCAGTGCCGCAAGACAGCAATGCTAACCACTGCACAACCCTACCATACTGATCACTACATATTCGGATATATTCCAAAACACAATTACCGTTTGTCCTGATTCAGATGGGATGGAATAATCACTCCGGTTGACCAAGCCATACCTCCTACATGCACTACAGCCCAGATAGGTGGCCTTTGTTTTATACATACATGTAATATACGTACAGTACATATTACACAGCTGCTCATTGTATTCTGCCAGGGTGCTATGTATTATATTAAGTGGGTAATGTGCACTGGGGGCAATGTGAGATGTGCTGAGA